AGTCACACTTCTGCTTTATAACAATCAGCAAACTGATTTCTACTATATGCCGTTGAAAGAGTGAATAATGTTATTTAGCTGCACTTCACTTTCTGACATGTTGCCACCTTGTGTGGCAAATTTTATGTGTATTCTTAGAGTTCATCTATTCCTAAATTTTGTCTGCCAACAACAAAGGGCATAGGGCAGAACAGAACCGTTTCTAGCTGGCCAGGTCCGCATGCCTTACATTGGCTGCATTACCCACTCTGCTATAAGCTCAAGGCCATGACTGTGCTGGTTAAGTGGAACTATACTCACCTTGGATCCAGCAATGCAGAGTCCCGGTTCTTCCCACCTGGCCACTGACATCTTCAGTCAACTGACTTTCGGGTCTGGGCTGCTGCTGTCACTGGGCCAGCGGGGATGACATCAGTCCTGTGCATGCACAGGAGTTCAGACAGATTCGGCATTGCCAAATTTTTACAGAGAGCTGTGCATGCATCCCTTCCCAGCCAGCACCTTTCTTCTGGTTTCACCACATTGACAGCAGTCTTCATTCAACAGGTCTCCAGCGTTGTGAATGTATTTTCCATCTACCTCCCCTTGTGGCTGCCCTGTCTCCTGAAGTGCTGTCCCTGAGCTGATATCCTGGCTTTTCCCCTTGATCAAGCACAAATTTCATCCATCCTGGCTCTCCCTCTTCTTTCGATCTGGAAAGTGTGTTTTCTTCAGCGGTATACTATGGTTCTGAATATGGCTCTGTAATCCCCCTCAAGCAGGTCCCTCTTCTCCTTCTGCTGGCAGCCCTGGCTTCCTTCACCTCTCTGGTGAAGAAGGGCAGGTAGTTACATCCAGCCAGGACTCCTCCACCACGATCACAGTGGAATATGTTTACACATGTAAGTTGATAATTGTTTCAATAAAGTTACTCTTTATACAGATTGGATTTCACAACTGTTTCAACAATGACAGTGTTAGTGGAGTGACTGACAGTGGAAATATATTAGGCTCATTCTGGGATTGATTGACTGCAGTAGCTAGCTGTCAGATCCCATCAGGCAGCGTATGGATGGATTCTCATTTTAACCCACTTTTACTTCAATAATGATGGCCCCCATTGATAGTGATCACTAATTGCCTAAATTTTCAATCCATATATAAGGGGACTTGAGTAGCTTTAGGGTGTTTGGTTGAACTGTAGGTTCGGGATCCACCCTTGTCACGCTCCCATACCAGATTTGTAGAAAACAGTGGTGCTGGTAACATAATTTATGTTATGAAAAATTAAAACATGTTAAATAATGCAAAAATGGTCTGTCCACCTGAGGTTGAAAGTGGAGTGCATGGCCTGGCAGCAAAAGGGTTAAAGGGCACACTAAAATACAGTATATAAAGCACAACATTCTCATAGAACTTATTTGGAAATGACAATGCTTATTAAATAAAGCAGGCATTTTACTGTAGCCAGTGATTTTTAAATCACCAAATTCGAATTTAATAAAGTATTCCCAATAACTTTTGACTGATACTGTAATTTACAGCACGAAAATAATATATAAATAAGCATGTGAATAATTTCAGTTAAAATGCTGGCCTAAAAAAGGCAATTTCCAGGTAATTACAACCTTTTTTGTATTATGTAAAGAATCTCAGAGACAGAGATACAATGTAGAAGTGATTAAAGAACCACATTCTGTAATGTACAAGGAAGGTGAAATACATAGTCTTTTGTAGTAACTTTTAACTAATACACTAGAAGTAGCCAAAATACTTTGAACATCACTGTGAGTGTGAGATGAGTTAATAATGGAGATTAAAGGGATATTGTATTGCAAAGTGACCATTATGTGGTTGCTGTGGGATGTAGTTGTTGATTGCTCTGCACTCCAGAAATATTTATTATAAAATATGAAGAGAGTGTTGACGTCAGAAAACAATTAAGATAGGGGCATATAGTGGGTTGTGTAAAGAAGAAGAAAAAATGGGATGAGGGGGAGGGATTTGGGAGGAGAGAGGAATGGGGAGGGGGTTAAGCTGAGGAGAAGGGGATGAGAGATAAGATTAGAGAGGGGTGAGTTTAGAGAGGGAAAGTAGTGATTGGGAGGTCTAGGGAAGCCTACAGTGGGAGGGTGAGGGAGGTAGGTGGGACAGCAGTTGGATGTTTGTGACAACAGGTGGAGATCTGGTAGAATCAATGTAGAAGTGTAGGGTATAATTAATTTGGATTGTGTTAGTGAAAGAGGGCCGTAGTGAAAGTTTAACCAATAGTACCATATTTTTTCTGAATTCTTCTTGACAGTGGAGGGAAAGTTGTAAGATCTTTTATTAGAATTGTTGTGTTAATGTGAATATGAATGAACTATTGTAACATGGTGGGAGTGGTTGATTGTTTACATGCCGGCTTTAGCAACATTTAGGATCTGGATCTATAGAGAGTTTTATAACTTTTGATAGAAAGGTGGTTAATATGAATTAAGAAAGACAAGGTTCAGAATTGAGAGGTATATCTGTTAGTTTTAAAATAAATATTCTTCACTTCCAGAAGGGTTTACAGAAAGGGCAGAAGGGTTTACAGATGGGTTTTCAGAAGATATAAAGAAGGGGGATTGACAATGCCAACAGAGTAGAGAGCTCTGACGATTTATTTGATGTAGTATATCTGGAGTTTTGTATTAGTATTTAAGTAGTTTATATCCTGATTCCTATAGCTTACTGAAAAAAATTTATTTGGTTTTGCATTAAAGAACAATTTAGATCTTTTTTCCAAGCTCAGATATATGGGGGTAGTGAGTTTAGTGAGTGTGCATTTCCACTACGGTAGGGTGAGAAATAGAGAGTGTATGTCAATGAGGGGATGATGCTAAGCAGAGTTTTCTTTTCGCCCTAAAAAGTTATTTATCTGGTAGTATAACGTGGAGGTAGTGGTAAAGTTGAAGTAGACACCAGTTATCTAAATGTGAGCCAAACTGAGTCCTAAGGTGGAAGTAGGAGTGGAGGACTCCATCTTTAGAAAGGGGAGAATCTGGGAGTAGCTGGATCAGGCTAGGTTAAGGAAAGGAGAACCAGAATATACTGAAGGGAATACTGGTGTGCCCAAGACAGGGAATAGTTTAAGGAAGCAAGGAAAGTTTGAGATTATGAAGGAGTTTGTGGGCTATTGTCCATATCTAAAGATGGCATTTAAGTTCAGGAAAAAGTTGGTCTATCTAGGGTGCACCATGCAGGGGAAAAGAAGTGCTGTTCCAGTCTGACCCAGGGTTTATGTGAGTGTCAAATACACCACTCAATTAGTCAAATTCCCTTTTTAGCTCATCAGACTTGAAACTGCTTAACCCCAGGATTCTCTCGGCAAGTACTTATTTACCTGAACTTCTTTCTGTTATCTGTTGGCTGTGCTGTTGTGCTCTGTATATATATATATATATATATATATATATACGTATATATTGGTTACATCTTTTTTCTGTAAATATGTCTACTGCACCCTTTTGACCTTTTAGTAATAAATCTTACTTTCTGAAAGTGTTGAACTGTTTCTATAGCCCTTTAATGTGACTTACGAATCCCTGCCGCTGAAGAGCGCTACTATGAGTGTTTAACCCTCGGTATAACCTGTCTGTGGAGATAGCGGTATACCCACGATTAGGCAATATATCCTAGTGTATTGCTGAGTTTCCTCTTTCTCTGTACAAAAAGGAGGTGGTGGCAGCGTGAAGGGTTAATTGCGTAATTAACCTGACCTAGTAACAAATGCTCCCAGGCTGCAGGTACATCGATTGTGGTCCAATTAGCTGGAAAATCGTTGTGCAGGGTGTAGCTGGGTGTGGCATTGTTACTCATGTGACATCGCGGTGTTAGATTGGTTAGTCCTTCGGTCACAAGTTTGGTGAGAAGGTCAGGGGTCTGACACGCGATCGTCACAATACCTATTAAAGTGACCAGCTTACACAAATCCTCCTACATAAGTTGTACCTGTTCATATACATTCTTTTCTTCTCTATAGCTGTTCAAAGTGCAGAATGTATTTATCTTGTCTGAGCTTTCAGAAAACAGGGGGCAAAGAGCTGAACTTACACTCTTCAGTGATCATAGCTGATTGGAGGAAAGAGGCACACTCCCTACACCCAGCACACAAGAATAGAGCTGATGCTATCAATCACAGGCTGTGTGCTGGAACTTCCTCTCCATCACCTTTTTCCCTCTTGGTGTCAGGAAAACTTATCAAAAGTGACTCAAGCAGATAGCAGAGGAAAGAGACATCAGACAGAAATTATACTCTTCTCTGGATTGAGACAAGTACACATTATAGAGGGATATGCTTTGTTCATATTTCATGTCAGAGGTTTATAACCACTTGAAGTTTTAATTTTACAAAATATTATTGTGAAATTAACAAATAGGCTGGGAGACTCCACACTCCCCCCAGTACACAGAGAACTGAGAGTGAGCATCAGATGTCTCACATGTCCAAGGGAGAAGAAGAGGGACCTTGGCCCCCTTTGCAAACCACAAGGTGCAGCTAGAACAGAGTTAAACCATCATGCTTACTGATGCTCTCAACCAAGTAAGGTGAGCTGTCCTAGAAGCAGCATGGAGTGTGGAGTTCCCAGGAGCACCAAATGTAAAGAGATGGGAGGCCACCATAGAAGATCAGATTGTGTAAACTGTTTTTAGGTTCTGACCTAAAGCCTATGAAGTCCCGGACTTGACCTACTGACCTACTTGACCTATCATTGGGGCCTGATGATAAGAATGACATTAAGCCTTAAAAGTTTAATCTGCGTGGGAAGCTAAATTCGGTGCTGATAGCATTGGTAGTAGGTGATGGGATAGAAGGAAAAGGTTCACTGGATATCCAGCCCCAGGATGTCTACTGTTGACTGATCACCTTTCAAAAGAAGAGTCCAAGCACTGTCATTACAGTTGTGATTGCCACTTTGTTCTTCAAATCTCTTCTGGTGACTTCAGGGGATTCCCCCAATTTTGCCATTGTTTCATCTATAGCAATTTTCTATATCATCTAGGACAGGGCTTGAAATTTCCACTCTCCTGCTCACCAATGGCGAGTGGAAATTATGGTGGGGGCGAGTGTGTCCCCCAGGGCCGTCTTGCTGAGCAGGCTCGGAGCTCAGGCCGGATCTCTCACTGGCACTGGGAGCTGTCAGACTGCTCAATAGCTGAGCGCAGTGAAAGCAAAGAAAGGAGTATGTGCTGTGATCTCTGCCTCCCCCTAGAGTGCAGTACCCGACTCTGTGCGTGAACAACGAAGTACTGCAACTTTTTATGGGGAGGGGTGTGTACGTGACATGTGTGTGTTTGTGTATGCATGTATGTGTCTGTTTGTATGTACATGTGTGTATCTGTACATGTATCTGCATGTATGTACATGTATGTGTGTGTGTACATGTGTCTGTGTGTGTGTGTATGTACATGTGTGTATGTGCATGTACATGTGTATGTGTGTATGTACGTACATGTGTCTGTGTGTACATGTGTCTGTCTGTATGTATGTACATGTGTCTGTGTATGTATGTACATGTGTCTGTGTGTGTGTGTATTTCTGTGTATGTACATGTATCTGTGTGTATGCGTGTCTGTACGTGCCTGTGTGTATACATGTGTCTGTATGTGTGTACATGTTTCTGTATGTGTGTGTATGTGTGCGTGTGTGTACATGTCTGTGTGTGTGTACAGGTGTCTCTGTTTGTGTGTGTTTGTTGGTGGCGAGTAACTCTTGTCATGTCTTGCTTGGAAAGAGATGTATTTGGTTGGGCTGTTGTGCTAATTCTCTTTCTCTAGGTCAGTAACTGAGTAGGCATTGGCATTGTAGAGAAAGAGTCTCTAAAAAATCACATAGCTGCTGATGGGCAGTAGGGAATAAACATCCGCACTGTGTCTCTCATGAAGGTTGTAGTTGGGCAGCTGAGGAATTTGTGTATCTAGCTGGTTTTGGCATGTGGGAGCAGGCGAATCAACTTCTCCAAGGCATGATCAGGGATGATATGGTATAGAACGGGGTGTCCAACTTTTTGGCTTTCATTAGAAAAAGAGGAATTGTCTTGGGCCACACATAAAATATATTAAAATAAGGATAGATAAGCAGGAAAAGTCAGGCAGATCATTAGTTAGTGATCAATGATATAGATAATGTAACTATCTGAGTAATAAAACTTAATTTTTTGTAATATTTTTCATTATGAAAGAGTAAAAACATAAAACTAATGCAATATTTGACACTGTGTTTTATAAAATGAATGCAATATATGGTTTGATGGATGTAGTAGCAACTCTCAATGACGTCTCAAAGTGGTCATCAGATATTTTGGTTCTAATTTTTCCCTTCATGTGCTTTATCCTTGAAAATAGTTGCTCACAAATAAAAGGTATAAACTTTTTTTTCTACTGCATGTGTTCACTAAGTGTAAATGCATTTTAACAAAAAAACTCCAGACAGAAAATCAACATTTTAAGTAAGTGTATGGTTTTGTGTTGGGCCACATCCACAACAGTCTTGGGCCACATGTGACCCTCGGTGTAGAATCTGATCATGGGAGTTGCCATGTAAGTCTGATACACTGAGGGAAATCATGGGTACTTGTTGGGACTGCTGTTGGAGGTGCCTTAGGGAAGGTAAATGGATAGTGCCCTACAGTGTTCAAGAGTCCTTAGCAAGGGCCTACGTTTGGAGTAGCTGGGTTATCGTGGGTTCCATGGCCATTTGTGGTCAGAAGTTTAGCTACCTCGGAGAATTACTGTTAGTGAGAATAATACAACATGGCAGAGCATGCATGAAACACAGCCTCATTCTGCAATTGCCAAGCCATGCCCCTTTTACCAGCTTTTGATCCATCAAAATCTTTGATTGTTTCAGGGTTTTTAAAAACTTTTGGTGAAGGATTGTGTTCATCCATTCAGTTTTAGATAGATAACTGTGAGAAAAGTAACAAATGTGGTATTTTCTTTACCATTCAATAAATCCATTATTGCACACATCAGCCTAAATTCTGGCATAAATGTCATATTCTTTTTAGCTATTTTAATTGTTAAAGTTAGTTCACAAAGATTACTGCATATGATATACTGCCTTAAAATATCCCAATAATCCTTTGGTCTTTTGCAGACCTAGAAACAACAGTAGTATCTTCAGCATCTGACACTTCCAAGTATATTGGATGTCTGAGTCGCTTTGTCACTGGTGTGTTCCTATAGCTCTGAAGCTAACAATTATATATGTATAAATATCATATTTGTGAAAAGAATTTAGGAAAAAAATGTCATGAAATAAAATAATAGTGTTAAAGTAACAGAATTGAAAGGTAAAATTGTGCCTGCTTCACCAAGGGTACATTTATGTGTATAGAAAGCTATTTCCATGACAACAATTTTCTTCTACGTATGCCCACAGTGTTTTTGCCACTGTTTCCATGGTAGTAGGACAATTATTAAAAAACAGAAAAGTAGCATTGCTTGATCATAGTCAAATGCTAATTATATACCAGTAGAAAGGGTTAATGCACAGTGAATAAGTGCATTTTAAGTGTAATGTGTAAGAGAATCCTTTAACCACTTGACCACTGCTGTACGCTTTAAAACAGTGGGTTTGTGGTATCCTGAAGTGCCATTGTAAAATGGCACTCTGTTTACTACTTGATCACAGACAAAATGCACAGAGCCAATCAGACTGGCTATTTGACTTGTGATCGCCACAATAGCCAATCATAGTTATAACAAATGTAAACACTATTACTGTTTAAATTTGAGGGTCCTCCCTTTCCTCTCACAATAGAAGAAGGGAATAAAGGGGGATATAATAAATTAATCAAGGGATCATAGGCAGCAGCAGATTCAAGGCGAGGGGCTTCTATTTCATTTGATTGTGAAATTGTTTTTTTAACCCTTTCACCCCTCCTGAACTGTATATCTTTATCCTGTCTCTAACCTGTTTATTAACACCTTTACCTTCTTTATCTGGCATATTAACCCCCGTAAATCTTCATTCTCCCACTGTATATGACCTGTACATTACTCCTTTAAATCCTCCTCCCTCTGTGTATGACCTATACATAGATAAGGTGCTGTATCAAGTGCAGCATTAGCCAGCTCCCTGCTTTAACCACCTCAATACCTGCATGTTTTTTTCATTTCCAAAAATCTGTAGCAAATATAAAATCATTTTGGGGTGTCTACTTTCCAAAAAGATGTCACATTGGGGTGTTTGTTCTGTCCTGTTGTTTTTATTTGATAGATGTTATAAAAGAAAGTAAGGGATTTTTTAAATTATTATTTTAGTCTTTAACTCTATAAAGCAAAAATATTTTTAAAAAATATCAAATACCATCAAAAGAAAAAGAATTATACAAAATAGATTTGAGTAGTCTTACATGACCTAGTATTTGTAATTCAACGTACAGTATCACAGCACCGAAAAGGCTAATACTTAAGTAAACAATATTTTCCAGAGCTACTTTTTGTTACAAATTACAATACATACCCAAAAACAACAGTATGAACTGTGACTTCCAGATCCAAAATAACAGTTCCAGTATCTGGCTATACAGTATAACCAGTGCAAACAACAGAAGAAAAGAAAAAACACCTTCTTCATTCCTTGATTCAGAAAAGACAATGACCGGTCAAGGTTACCACACCATGTGGTGAGGTACCATTTCAAGAGGAGAGTTATACCCTAATGAGCACAAGGGCTATCTGTGGGTACCGATGAACCTGGGATCTAGTTCTGTTTGCACAGTGTTTGATAATGCAGTGCCTATATGTTTAACACCTGTCTTTTTGGGGGCTTTGTATATGTGTATATGAATTACTGTAGAGTCACTTACCAGGAGCAGATTAGTACAAAACAGAGTTTTAATTATGTATTTTCTTATTTGATTATTGTAATAAAGGTGTTCTTTTATGACATATTTTCCCCTTCATGTTTTTATGCAAGTCATGGCAGACCTAAATTATCTTTTTCTTTTTTTATTTTGTTGTTTAAATAACAAAACGTGTTTACCAGGCGTTTACATTTCTTAAACAGATGTGAACAAAACACTGTTTGAGCCAATTCCCTGAACACATTTTACAGGTGTATTTAAATGCGTAGTGTTCCTGAACATAAATTTTGCATTATTAAATGATTTTATTAATCATCTGTTTCCAGATCCAGAGCACAACTAAGGTATCAAAGGAAAAACTTGCCATTTCTATGAGAAGAAAAAAAAAATTGGAAATATGAATTGCAATATATTTGTAATTCATAAGACAAACATTGCCATATGGATCTATTTAACCTTAGGGAACTCACATATGTTTACCCTTTTACTAACTAAGACATACCATGTGTCTGCTATAATGTATAACTAGTTTAATCGTTCACATTAGTAAGAATATACTGAAGTACAAACCTAAATCCCCATAGTACAAATAGGGAAACTAATAAATAAAAATTAATTTGCATAGCATAGGCCATGAGATTCAAGTTTAATTTAGCACAGTCAAAAAAAGGCAGCAAGTCGGAGTAGGGTCAAACGGATTTTGCTGATTCCTCATAGACAAATGTCATTAATAATAGGGGAAACTTTACTTCAATCATGAGTTATTTTTAAAGTGTATACGAACTCTAAAATTTATTTCTTATATGTGCTCCATTTTGGTCTACTAAATATTTCAATACAAGTGTTTATATCTGGTCAATTGGTGCAAAATTACACCTGTTCATCCAGCCAGAAATAGTGTGAGCTTATAACTTCCTCTGATCTCTGACTCTGTTATCAGTTACTTTTATTTCCAATGCTCTTTGTGGACTAATTCCTTCCATTTATGTTATTGAGAAGAAGAGGCTGGGAGGTGTTCTGTGATCCTAACAGGCATCTTGTTCTAAAGATTGATACAGTTCGTGACAAGCTGTCCACTGTACAGATATCTCCCTCACCCTACAGTCCTTGTCCACCTGCACAATCTATACTTCCCTTGTTTAACCCAGCTACTATAGAGGAGGTTATTAAACTTTGTTCTAAAGCCCACTTTACCACCTGTCCCCTGGACCCTGTTCCCTCGCAAATACTATGGTCACCCTCTGGCTCTATCCTTCACTCTCTAACTCCTATCTTCAATCTCTCCATTTCTATTGGCATCTTCCCCAACTCTCTTAAACATGTGCTAGTCACTCCCATACTTAAAAAGCACTCAAGACTTCTGGTTCTGGTGCCGTATAGAGCCACACCAGCTCCTCTTCTGTCCCCCGCCTGTCACAGGGGGAAACAGCGGCCACTGCAGCCAAGATGGTCACTGCTCCCAGGACACACGCTGACACAGGGGATCAGCAGAGCCCAATGCAGCCGCAGCCTCCTGCTTCCCAGCCTCCGGACTCTGCCTCACCAGCGGGCATTGCCCACACAGTCATGGCACTCCTAACACCTTCTCTCATGGCAGCGGTCGATAGTGCTGTTCTTGAAGGACTAGAACAGCATCATAAAGATCTCCATGCCCAGGCTCAGTGCATTACACAGATGAAAGATAGGATCTCCTCCATTGAAAACGACTCATTGGCTGTTTCTGCCACAGTAGCCAGACTC